ACACACACACCACACACACACACACCATACCACACACACACCACACCACACACACACCATACCACACACACACCACACCACACACACACACCATACCACGCACACACCACGCACACACACACACTACCACACACACACACACACACACACACACACACACACACAACTTCCATTTGATGATGGGTTACTGCTGTGGCTGCTATCTTGTGGAAGCTGGAACACTCACCCCCAGTTCTCTGCTTACTGGGGTCACATAGATAAATCTAGATTGATCTAGGGTTGCCTTCCTTCCACCTCTAACCCACACCCTCAAACTCCATCCTCACACATATGTCCCAGACCTCTTCTTATACGAACCAGAAGTTCCTTAGGAGTGTAGTACACCTTCTCACTGTGTATTCCTTCTCTGGGGCAGGATGAAACTTGAATCTGTTGTAGGTCTAGAAGTGAAGAAGTGTGGTGAGGATGGGCCCCAGTTGGCATCAGAGCTGCCTCGTTTGGCATCTCCTTCAGGGAAGGTCATTCTTGGTTTCATAGACAACACAAGATTTTGTTTTTCAGATAAAGATGGAGAGGGCAGTAGTTCAGGGAGCGGGGTTAGGGATATATTTGCTACTAAATTTGGGGGACTCTTCCTCAAAAAAAGGACATCCCCCAAAAAGAAAAAGAAACCAAACTCATCAGATTCTGAGAGTTCCATGCCCTCACGTCCTTCAAAGATCTCCATCTCAGGTAACAGGACCCCACTGCTTACCAGTCAGCGCCCTCACTTTAATGGCTGACACTCTTTGAGGCTGGGACCTGAATTTTTAAAAAATATTTATTTATTTATTATGTATACAATATTCTGTCTGTGTGTATGCCTGCAGGCCAGAAGAGGGCACCAGATCCCATTATAGATGGTCGTGAGCCACCATGTGGTTGCTGGGAATTGAACTCAGGACCTTTGGAAGAGCAGGCAATGCTCTTAACCTCTGAGCCATCTCTCCAGCCCCCTGGGACCTGAATTTTCACTCTGTGTCATTCAGTCTTATGACAAGGGCTTGTCTTTAGATTTCAGCATCTTCAGCCCTAGTTAAGTTAAGCTACTCAAGTTAAGTTTTCCTCTTAGGGCTGGGCAGTGGTGGTTCATGCTTTTAATCCCAGCACCTGGGAAGCAGAGGCAGGTGGATCTTTATGAGTTTGAGGCCAGCCTGGTCTACAGAGCGAGTTCCAGAACAGTCAAGGTTACACGGAAAACTTTTTTTTTTTTAAAAAAAGAAAGCAAACAAACAAAAAAGATTCTCTCTTAGGACATATTTACAAGCTTTTAGATGGGTTGTCACCACTGGAGCTGGGAGATTAAGCTCATTTTGTTTTTATTTGTTATTTTATCTAGAAACATCGGAAGCAACTAGCCAGCATCATTATATTCCTTATTTTCCCAGTCATGTTAAAAAGTTTTATATAGAGGGTCATTATTGCCTTGCTCCTCACAGTGGGTGAATCAGGAATATCAGAGCATTTATCTTGCATAATTCTTTAAGCAGTTCACACTACTGGTTATTAGTAGTCTCTGGACTACCAAGCCTTCAGCAATGTTAATGCTTGGCTCTGTGATTAAACACCACGACCAAAAGCAACCTTAGGAAGAACTAGTTTACTTTCACTTAAAGTTCCAGAGTCCATCATAGTGGGGAAGGCCTGGCAGGAGGGGCAGGAAGCAGAAAACTCACATTCATCCATAACTAGAACAGAGAGGGAGAGAGGGAGAGAGGAAGGGGGGGGAGAGAGGGAGAGAGGAAGAGAGGGAGGGAGGGAGAGAGAGAGAGAGAGAGAGAGAGAGAGAGAGAGAGAGAGAGAGAGAGAGAGAGAGAGAACAGGAAGTAGCACAGGCTATAAGATCTCAAAACCTGTCCCCGGTGATCTACTTCCTTCAGCAAGGCTCCGCCTCCCGAAGGTTTCATAACTTCCCCAAACAGCGCCACCAACTGGGGATCAATGTCCCATCTCATATGGACATTTCTCATTCAAACCACTACAGCAACTTTACAGTTAATCAAATTGCAGAGTTAGCACCATATTCCAGCAACCCATTAGAGAAAAAGTCCTTCCTTCCTTCCCTCCTTCCTTCCTTCCTTCCTTCCTTCCTCCCTCCCTCCCTCCCTCCCTCCCTCCCTTCCTCCCTTCCTTCCTTTCTTCTATCCCAAGACAGGGTTTCTCTGTAGCTTTGGTGCCTGACCTGGAACTAGCTCTTGTAGACCAGCTGGCCTCGAACTCACAGAGATCTGCCTGCCTCTGCCTCCCGAGTGTTGGGCTTAAAGGCGTGTGCCACCACCGCCCAGCCCTGAGAGAAGTGTTCTTAAAATTCAGTTTCCTTCGAACCACTCCTGGCACCATAATTTGCATTAGTCAAGGTTCTCTACAGGATCAGGCTCACTACAAAGTATTTATAGTTTAAAAGAGACTTACTAGAATGACTCTCCACTAGAAGGACCTCGGTAGGCCAGCCATGGCTGTCTGCATACCAGACAGGATGAGAGCCCAATAGCTGCTTAGTTCATAAAGCTGGGTGCCTCAGTGGCAGTTCAGATCTTCCTTAAAAAAGCAAGCAAGCAAACAAACAAAAGAGATTCTTTCTTAGGCTTTAAGGATTCAGGGAGAGTTGCTGGTCCACATTGAAATTCAAGATGCTGCGGTCTGATGTCCAAGGACAGACACACTCACCATGAAGGCACTTAAGTCATTTCTTTTCCCCTTTGGACCATTTTGTATCTGGGATACTTGGTGAAAAGTGCTTCCCTCTCCAAGGAAGAATTTTCCTGGAAACAGGTCTCCAGACTCACCTAGAGATACAGCTCTTAGTTAATTCCAGATTCTGCCAAGTTGGAAATCAAGAGTAGCCACCTCAGCCTCCCGAGCTCAGCCAGCGTAGATTCCTATCAGGACTCACGGTCTGCAGTTCCTGCCAGTTCTTTCCCTTGACAGTCCCTGGGAAAACCTTGGCCCTGGATGAACTCAGCCACCCATAGTATTTTCTGATGTCTTGGTCACAATGATGATGGACGTTGGGTGATGTGTAAGCTCCCGTCCGTCCACCCCACCATCCCTCTTTTGTTCTTCTCCAGCCTGCTCCTTCTGTCATAGCCTCATGGGCAGAGTCTTCATACGCTGCCCTCTCTCTCTGCCTGCTCCTTATTCTTGTCACCTTGTCATTCCAGGTCCTCAAATCCTGGCCCCATGGAATCTTTCTCTCCACGGTTCTCCGCTGTTCTGTCTTTATCATTCTTCCAAGAATCTCTTTTCATTGTTCTAGGATGAGACTCCCCTGGTTTCCCTGTGGCCGCACTGTGTCCACTTTTGGGTCCTCCCTCCCCTGAACTTCGTACATCGGATCTTTCGCTTTCTTCTCCCTTCTCTTTCCCGAGGCTGCCTCCTTACCTAGGGATCCAGCACCTAAGCTGTCTGTCAGTTCTCTCCTGAAGGGAGTTATTTCTTTCCCCTGGGGCAGGGTTTCTCTGTGTAGCCCTGGCTGTCATGGAACTCACTCTGTAGACTAGGTTGGCCTTAATCTCACAGAGATTCACCTGCCTCTGCCTCCTGAGTGCTGGGATTAATTCTAATCTCATTTTCCTTCTGAACTAAGAACAAAGACTATAGGTATCTCTAAGTATTCTTTGCTTCAGAACTGCAGAGGCACTTGGCCAGTGCTGGGGAAAATTAGCTGAGTTCACTCTGAGTTTATATAAATGGTAAGGAGAGAGGGGGAAGATATCAGAAGAATCAGATGTAAAAAAAAATCTGATAAAGACACATGAAGAGGCATACAGAGGCAAAGGAGAGAGGGAGAGAGAGAGAGAGAGAGAGAGAGAGAGAGAGAGAGAGAGAGAATGAGAGCCAGAATGATACAGATACACACACAGAGAAAAACAAAGTGGCGCAGATAATTGGTGGTGAAATATATGCACAGATACACTCATAAATTTAATTATATCTAACATATTTTACCTCTCTGACATTTATCCATTATGTATTCCTATACCCTTTACTTATCTATTAAATATCATATCTATAAATCATTTGTGTATCCATACTTATCCACCAATTATCTATCTGTCTGTCTGTCTGTCTGTCTATCTATCTATCTATCTATCTATCTATCTATCTATCCATCCATCTAACCATCCAAGAAACAGAGAGAGGTTGCAGAAATGGCTCAGTGGCTGAGAGCCCTAGCTGTTCTTGCAGAGAAGCTGGCTTCAGTACCAAGCCCCCATATCAGGCAGTTGACATCTGTCTGAAACTACATTTCCAGCTGTTCCAACACTTTCTTCTGGTCTACATGGGCATCTGAATAAAATATGTGGCTATATACACATATACAAATTATAAACCAATAAATCTTGAGAAACAAGACAAGCTGGGTAATGGTGGTGCACCTTTTATCCCAGCACTCAGAAGACAGAGACAGGCAGAATTTTATGAGTTTGAGGCCAGCCTGGTCTACAAAGCGAGTTCCAGGACAGCCAAGGCTACATAGAGAACCTTGTCTTGAAAACCAAAATAAAAAATAAAAAAAGAGAGACAGGAGAATAAGGCTTCAGACAGAGAGACAGAGATAGAGACAGAGATAGAGACAGAGAGAGACACACAGAGTTATGTATATAGATATAATAGATTAAATTAAAAATTAAATAATAAATTAAAAAAAGATGAACACAGTTTAACCCAGGTTTCCAGGTTGATTTAGCAAAAGCCATAGCTGAATGAACCGAAGAGAAGTCTGAGAGTGGTGTGTAATTTGATTGGCAAGAAACTGTGACTATCTGAGGCCCCCATCAAGACTAACCTTCGCCTTCTCCATCCCCAGGTCAAGAGCAACGAGGAAGGTATGCAGCTGATGACTGAACTGGGCCACTACTACCCTGATGTCCACCTCTTTTGGTTTGGGGCCTTCTACCCCATCCTGAGGCTCACCCACCCCAAGTTCATTGCTCCCGTGCTCCAGGCCCCAGGTATTTTTCCCAGGATCCAATTATTGGTCTGTTCTTTTCCTTTTCTCCCAGCCTTTCCATCCGTGCACAGGCCAGGTTGGGCAGGAAATAATGAGCCATGTCTAATAGAAGCCACAACCCTGCTGCTAACTTGACTGACCCTGACAAGGTTTTTGATTCCTTTAGATCCTGAGGTCTGTTAAGTGAGTGATGGAATTTCAACCCAGTGTTGTCTTAGGAAAGAAGGCAGATCTACTGGCTGGAGGTGTAACTTTTTTTTTTTTTTTTTTTTGGTTTTTCGAGACAGGGTTTCTCTGTAGCTTTGGTGCCTGTCCTGGAGCTAGCTCTTGTAGACCAGGCTGACCTCGAACTCACAAAGATCCGCCTGCCTCTGCCTCCCGAGTGCTGGGTTTAAAGGCGTGCGCCACCACCGCCCGGCCCTGGAGGTGTAACTTTGTAGTGGGACGCTTCTCTGCAACGTAGAGTCTTAGGTTGCATGGCTAGGCACTGAAATTAAACAAACAAACAAACAACAGTAAAAAACAACAAAAGAAATTTGTTGGCTGAAAAATCCAGGGAGAATGCTCTTCAAGCACATCTGGATTCAGGTCTCAAACACGCTGCAGGATCTGTATCTCTTGGTTCCATCTTCCTCTGGGATGATTTCACGCTCATCTGGGGAAAGGTGACCCCTAATGGCTCAACCCATTGAAAAAAATCCTTGTGGGTTCAGGATGAGTTCTGGGACTCTCTTAACTTTGCCTTATTCGGGAGTCAGGACAGGTTCTTCATCCCCCACTGTGACTTGATTGTCTCATAGTATTTTAGACATAAAATGATGAATAACAAGAGTGCTTTTTTTTTTTTTTGTCGGACAGGGTTTCTCTGTTGTAGTCCTAGCTGTCCCGGAACTCACTGTGTAGGTGAGGCTGTCTTTGAACACAAAGAGATCAGCTTGCCTCTGTCTTCCAAGTGCTGGGCTTAAAGGCATGAGCTACGACTGTCCAGCTTGTTTTGTGAATTCTTAAACAGAAGCAAAGCAGAAAAGGACACATGAGTCTTCATAGCACTTTCTTAAGATGAAAGCAAAAGGCAAGAAGGTGTTTTGCATATTTAGGGTACGATCTTTCCCTAATTTTCGATCCTTGACAAAGCATCTCCAGTAAAGAAATAAAATAAAAATATGAAGATCTGCTGGATGTAGTGTGCACCCCTTTAAGGCCAGTGATAGGACAGCAGAGATGGGTAGATCTCTGTGTGTTCAAGTTCCATGGGTCTACAAATTTATTTTTCACAAACGAACAGACAAACAGATCCATTTAATGGCCTTTTGTCATAGGATTCAGAATATAGCATGGACAAACATCATTGTAAGTATTCATCATTTTTATAGGGTCATTAGTATAATAAGGTCAATTTATCAGGGCACTTCTCAAGAGTTGTTGAGGAATGGAGGCTATGACCGCCCTTCTAACAGAGATCAGACACAGACCAGATAGACAAGAACCGAACAGAGCAGAAGGGTTTAGAGTTCAGGAAACTGATGCCCAAAGAGCCATACAGCCCACCAGGGATTCCACCCACCTGAGTTTAGTGTCTTACAGTTGCTTCAGCCACTTCTGATGAAACGGGCCCTAAATTGGAAAGTGATTCGGGAGGGAGAGTGGGTGGGTAGATCAGATCAGGAGATTGGATGGGTTCAGCTGTGTGTGGCTGGCCCTGGAGCTTCTTGCTGGCTGGGGGTCTGTGGCAGTTCTTGGAAGGGAGCACATGGGGCCAGCATCCTGTGGTCTTTGAGGATAGGGGAGCCTTTAACTCTAAATACTCAATGCTTATCCTGGTATAAAGGAGGGTACATGAAATACTCAATGCTTATCCTGGTATAAAGGAGGGTACATGTGCCCCACTGTCTATGCCTTTATATGTAAAGGCATATAAGGGTGTCATACTGGGGTTCAGATGTGGAGTATGTGCTGGACTTTGTAGCAGCCGTGTAAAGGCGTGTTGGGGCATGCTGTGCTCTGTCAGGCTGATGTTAGCTTTCCCTGCTACTGCAGCCTGGTCTAGCCTCGTCTCAGCTCCTTCCTCCTCCTAGTTTCCTTTGTCCCTTTTCCCTTCCTGCCTTGCTGGACTTGGAGGGGAAGTGCACAGCCCTGGGGCTGAGAGTCACATTTGATTTCTCCATGTCCCCTGATTGTCCATCACGGCAGCTGCGGTGGCCCCTAAGGAAATGACTTTCTATGGTTTCCTGAAGCCATGGCTGGGTGAGTACCTCAAGGTCAGGGTCAGGAGACATCCCTGAGGGCCCAGAGAAAGGTGCCACTCTTGCTTACTGCCATGGCTGCCCTCCTAGGAGATGGGCTGTTGGTGAGTGCTGGAGAGAAATGGAGCCACCAACGCCGCCTGCTGACACCTGCATTCCACTTTGACATCCTGAAGCCCTATGTGAAGGTTTTTAATAAGAATGTGAACATCATGCATGTAAGTTTGTGTGTATTTGTTTGTATGGGATAGTTTTCTTTAAGATTAAATATTTTTAAATTATATATTTATATAAATATATATTATATATTTGTTTTATGTGTATTGATGTTTTGCCTGCATGTATGACCATACATTCCTAATGCTTGTGAAGTCCAGAAGAGGGCACTGGATATCCTACAACTGGAGTTACAGACAGTTGTACGTCACTATGTAGGTACTGAGAATCAAACCTGGATCCTCTGTAAGAGCAACAAGTGCTCTTAACTTCTGATCCACCTCTTCAGCCCTGTGTGGGGTTATTTCAGTAGGCACACACCGGTTGACACTTACGGAGTACCTACTATCCATCTGCAATACTATGCCAGTTCCATGATCTATGTTGTTTGTTGTAATTCCTGCGCCATCCTGAGGTCGAGGCGATTATGACAAGTTACATCATAGATGAGGTTACTGGGGCCATACAGTTCCAGGTTCATCAGCAGTAAGTGTGAGTGGTGGAATGCAGCTTATGGGACAACAGATGAGGTCAAATTAATTGTTGCTGAAGGCTTAACAAGTGGGAACCAGGAGAGGGAAATGTGCTGACCAGAGGCACAGAGGTATTAGACTTGAACTCAGGCTTTCTGACTTCCCGCAGGTCTTCTTTTCTTCCACCCACGCCTGGCTTATTATGGAGGCAGAGGACCAAGTGTGCCCGCGCTCTCTTTCTCCTCTCTCTCTCTCTCTCTCTCTCTCTCTCTCTCTCTCTCTCTCTCCTTTCTTTTCTCTTTTTCTCTCTTTCTCCTCTCTCCTCTCTTCTCCTTCTCTCTCTCTCTCTCTCTCTCTCTCTCTCTCTCTCTCTCTCTCTGTGTGTGTGTGTGTGTGTGTGTGTATGTGTGTGTATGTGTCTACCCCAGTGTTTGGAGTTAGGGAGGGACGCAGAAACCAATGCCTTGTTCTGCTTCCTTCTCTGGCCAGGCCAAGTGGCAGCAGCTGACCGCCAAGGGCAGCGCCCTTCTGGACATGTTTGAACACATCAGCCTCATGACCTTGGACAGTCTGCAGAAATGTGTCTTCAGCTTAGACAGCAACTGTCAGGAGTGAGTCACTGTCTTTGTCTGGGAACCTGAGCTGTGGACCAAGGCAGGAGGGTGGGGAAGAGAAGACTGGCCAGAGGGAGCATCTCTGGAGGATGTGGGTCATAACAGGCACTGAAGGACGGTGAAGAGAAAGAGTCAGTGTTGCTCTTTCAGGGAGGTGAGATTGCCTGGATAAAGGTAAGGTGTGGCTAAGCAGCAAATGAAGCAAGCAAAGCCGGGTGGTGGCGGCACACACCTTTAATCCCAGCACTCGGGAGGCAGAGGCAGGTGGATCTCTGTGAGTTTGAGGTTAGCCTGGTCTACAGGACAGGCTCCAAAACTACACAGAGAAACCCTGTCTCAAAAATCCAAAGCAAACAGACAACAAACAAACAAACAAACAAAGTAAATTAGTCAATCAATCAATCAGGCAAGGGTGGGGGGCTCTTGTCAATATCTGAGTGAAACAACTGAAGAAGGGAAGGTCGATGCCGGCTCCCAGTTTCAAAGGTTTCAGTCCATTCTGGTGGGTGGGGCAGGGCAAAATGGAGTTCCTCCCATTACGAATGCCAAGAAGTGAAGAGGAAGAGGTAGTCTGTCCTAGCAAGCTTCCCCCTCTGTTTTCTGTTCTTCCTTCTGGGCCCCTAGCCCATGGAACGAGACTGTCCATATCAGGGTGGGCTTTTGCCCCCTCAGCCATTGCTCTGGGAAACACCCTCATAGACGAACCCAGGGATGTGCTTTATGAGGGCCAGGGATGGGGCTCAGTCAGTGATGTGCTTGCCACGCAAGGCCAGACTTGAGTTCTGATCCCAAGCTCCCCAAGCCAGTGTGATTGAGATCTGCGATCCTGTGCTGGAGGGAGCTTCAGACAGGGGAAACAACTGGAGCTCATCGGCCAGCAGAGTCAATGAGCTTCCAGTTTAGTGAGAAACACTTTCTCAAAAATCAAGGCGAAGCTGCATGCTGGTGGCGTGCCTTTAATCCCAGCACTCTGGAAGCAGAGGCAGGCGGATCTCTGTAAATTCAAGGCCATCGTGGTCTATAGAGCGAATTCCAGGACAGGCTCCAAAACTCCCTGTCTCGAAAAGACCAAACCAAACCAAACCAAACCAAACCAAACCAAACCAAACCAAACAACAAAAACCCAAGGTGGAGTGCAATTGAAGAAGATATCTGAGGGCAACCTCCGGACTCCACATGCATGTGAACGTGTGTACCAGCTCATGTACATGAGACAACTACACGGCATGTACATATAAGACATGTGTGAGTGCGTGCGCATGTATGCGTATGTGCACACACACACACACACACACACACACACTGAAAATAAGTGATTTGATCTAAGCACTTCCTAATCTAATCAAGCTGATAGTCAAGGTTAATAATCCCAGGGAGTCTACAAAGAGAGTTACAGGACAGCCAGGGCTATACAGAGAGACCTCGTCTTGAAGCTTGCCCCCCTAAAACGAAAAAACAACTCCCCCAAATCATGGGGAGTTAACAGTGCCCCTCCTCCATTGCCTTCCTGCGTCACTTGCTTTTCTGTTGCTGTTATAAAACGCTATGGTTGTTTGGAAGGAACAGTGTATTTTGGATGGCCGTTCTGACAGGGAAATCCATAATGGCAAGGGAGGCATGGTAGTTGAAGCAGGAAACTGCCCCACCACGGTCCAGCAGCTGCACCCAGGAAGCAAGGAGCACAGACTGGAAGTGGGGCAAGGATACAGATTCTCAAAGTTCATGCCACCAACAAGGCTTTCATCCTAAAAGCTCCATAAGCTCTTCCAAAGTGCCACCAACTGGGGACCAAGTGTTTTAATACATGAGCCTCTGGAACACACTTCTCAGACTTCCTTTTCCTTCCTTTTTTCCTTCCTTCCTTCCCTTTTTCCTTCCTTCCTTCCCTTTTTCCTTCCTTCCTTCCTTTTTTCCTTCCTTCCTTCCTTCCTTCCTTCCTT